TGATTTAATTTCATTGTTAATTTGCTTAGATTTCTGGAGACCTTGACATTGCTAAGGATGCTCTAATACATGTGACTTCGCGCTTGAGGGCCAATGTTTTCGAAAAGGAGGGTGATTTGCCTGCATTTTTGCCAGTCGTCCCCTATATCCCGATGCCCGCAGAAGTCTCAGGAAACTTGAAGTATGAAAGTAGAGACTCAAAGAGTCGTGGGCGTGGGTATTCTAACTCTAGTCAATATGATGATCCGGTTGATTTGCCACCTGTGGATGCTTATGATGGTTATGGTGGAGGACAGGTAATAATGAATTTTATTTTGACCTTTCATGTTTGTTGAAGTGAGTCACAAGAACTTAATTTATTAAGTTCCAATTTTCTCGTCATTCAGACTGGCAGTGGTAGTTCTGCTTACGGTGCTTATTGGAGTTATTCGTCTAGGCGTTCAGTTGGTTCTGGGTATGATCATCTCCATTTCACTTGATTTATTGTCTGTGTTTAGTGAGGTGAGGACTTGTGTCAGGTTTATGAATGTAGTTTGCTACCATTCTTTCACAATAATCGAGGTGAAAGAGAAATCCTCTCAATTCGATGTTTTTTCTTGACCTTCATTTTCTAGACTATAGTGCGTTCACCGATGAATCTGTTTTTTGACCTTTGTCCATTTACGTGCGACTATATTTCCTATTGAGTTCCTTTTCTCGTATGAGGAAGTTGACTTATCCAATTTGATCACCTTAAGCTTTACCAGTACCTTGCACGGGCTATTATGATTCTTACAGTCTCTGATAGTGAAGCTTCATTTACCAGGTTATCTGGGCGTAGCCATGGTTCACGTGGCAGAACATATGATTACTAAAACCTTTTTAAGATCGCAGGTAGACCACATCGCTGTATCTTTTATACATCATGGCATCATTTAATCCAACTTTTTCCCAGTAAATTTTTTACTGGTTTTCTATCTACTGTCCACACTTGCAAGTTCCACCTCATACTAAATTTTGACAAATTGATATAATTGAGGTACCTATGCTCCAGATATGACTGATCCTATGCTTTTTACATCTGCTTCCTTTCCCTTCCCAATACAACAGCTGAGATACCTGAAGCCTTGAAGTCAACCTATCGCCTATATTGGTGAAGCCACCCATACCTAAACCTGAAGACCAGATGATACTGGATTCGGAAAAACTGATGGCGCCCACTTAGAAGCATGTCCCGACTCCCGATACCATATATTTCCAAGCTTAATATGTACTACTCCCAGGAACCTGCTGTCCTTCCTCAATTTCATTAGAACAAAAATGTATCAGATTAAACTTAAGTTTTGGATCTCAGCTGTATGGCTTAAGTTATTATGTCTTTTGTGTGTGAGTCGTGTTTCAGGTTGATGTATGTTTATGTCTTTATTGCACTTTTGTCCCAATGTTATTTGAACTGCATTTGGTTATTAATTTCCTTTGAGCATTTATTTGTTTACGCATCTAAAAATTGAATGTTGTTTCGCTTGGTATAATATGCATAAAAATTGGGCTCTCTTCCTCGTTTTCCTGTAAACATGCCTTGAGCATTCAATCATTTTCATGATGCTGGTTTGATTAATTAATTATGGTCTAGCCTCATGGTATTTTGTGGAAGGTGTAAGTTATGCTGTAGCCTATGTGTCAGGTAAGATATCCATTGCACAAATTTGGTTGGCATCGGACAGCAAGGAGAAAACTTTCTGGTTGTGTTTAATGTTTATCAGTTTACTGTTGAGAAAAATTATGTTTTGAAATCTGCTGATGCTTGTAACCGTCTTTCTCAAGATGCCCTTTTTAAGGTGGATCATTAGATGTAGCGGATGACCCACGAGAGAGGGCCGTAAAGAGCCTTGTGTTGTGCAGGTATTATAATTTCTTATTGAAGCTTTATGCATTCTATCTATGTTTATTTGTTGTGCTAGTTTGTTTTCATTGTGTCCACTTTCTATGTTAGAGTTGGATGTGCATTTGTTTATACTTGATGATGTTTTGTGTTTGCATGCTGGATCAGATATTTGACTACGATGCTCCTGAGGTGTGGAAAGCTTGTTTCAACTGCACAGCTTTCGTCGTTTTTAGTATTGTGGGGGCCATTTCAAGTGCTCCAATTCATGGCTGCAAGGGAGTACCTACACACTATTTAATGATTCTTGAAAAATAATATTTTTTTTTTCCAGTATTTCTTTCTATGTGTGATTTTGCATATGTCTTAATCAGGATTGAAATGCCGATGGAGCGAGAAGGATTTAAAGAAATAAAAATACAAATTTGATTTGTAGTCACAACTTCTTCAAACAGCTTTTAATTTTTCCAAACCTTTTATACCCTTCTATTTGTAACTTTGTAAATCCTGCTGACCATTTTCAACTACTTATAATATCATTTAATCGAGAAAGGTTTTCTGCAAACACTTGTGCAACTTCATTGGTTGACGCATATTTTAGATATATTTTATGTTATTTTATTAACTCTTGCGGCATCTACCTTTGCAGGAGAGAGTGGTATTAATCGCTATTGTATTGCAAAATAATCAACTGGTGATTGGTTTTCATTCCATGCATCTGTTTAATCATACGTTTCGAAGGTACATATAGAGCAAAGACATGTTCATATCCGAGGGGTTGCACGGGACTACTCATGAACAGGAAAAAGACAGCCAGGTGAATATCAACTATATACCATCTATGAATAACTTTTGAAATTGAGGTTCTAAATTTAGAAATAATTTCTTCCGACTTGGGATATCTCTATAAGTTCGGCTAATTATTTATTTATTTATTTATTTTTACACAAAAATTATCTTCATAGTTCACAATTTGTGCAGTGTATGTGTTTTATTTCCTTATGCAACATAATCAAACTCAAATGACTTGTCCAAAGTGGGTCCTATTTGCTTGTCCAAAGCGAGTAAGTTTTCCCCACCTAACTTAGTGTACTTGAAGAGCAAAACATGACCTCTCATGATCTGAGGGCCTTAAATGCCATGTCCTTTTAGGACAGGGCTTATGTTGTTTTTCGAGTTTAGGGAACTTCTTGTTTGTATGGGTTTTTGGGGCAGAGTGTTCCTTGTTCCGATTGGTCGGAATTTTTTTTTTTGTTTTTTATTTTTCATCGGGCTTGATTGTTTCATCATAATTCTTGCATGAGCGAATTAGGTTGTAAGGTGTAGCCACGGATGACTTGCCGGTGATACAAAATTTTAAGGCAAAATTACCCCTAATATGACGACATTTTCCGAAATTTCAATTTAATCACGAAATTTCATTTTTGCAAATTGTATCATAATCTTCAGTTTGTTCCGAAAACCAGCGCTACAAAAGTTGATGTGCTTGAAGAACAAATTGAAGATTGTGATATAGTTCTGCAAATCGGTGCACTGATTTGCAACAAATTGAAGATTGCGGTATAATTTGCAAAAGTGGAAAGATCGTGATTAAATTGCAGTTTCACAAAAAGATCGTGATATTAAGGGTAATTTTGCCAAATTTTTATAATCGTCACCTTTTTATTTTTTTCGTCCCTTTCTCTTTTCCTTTTGTTTTGAACCGGCAAGTCATTTTTGGCTATATCTGTACCTATTTCTTTCATGCTAGATTTTTTTGATGATTTTCAGGAGGTTTGTTTTTCATGGCTGAAATTACATTCTAACATAATAAATATGATGATTGACATTTTAAATGTCATTTATTTTCTCTAATAAAAAGTTAATTATTTGTTTTTCTGCAGATGAGCTCAGTTTGGGTGTCCGTGTAAACCAAACTATTGTCTTTTACATGGATTGTTCTTCACTTGTTCAAATATTGTACTTCATCTTTCTCATGTTTTTGGAATAGATTTTTCTTAAATGAAGTAGTTATGATGAATTTTTTGGT